ACGAAAGGAGAGATCCAACATGCGATATTCTATAAATATATTAATATTTTTCGAAAATTTACTAATCTGTTGTGTTCTGTATTCTTAGTATGCACTCCAGTGGGATTTGTACGACTGTTTGGTGTGGTGGGATCGTTTCTCGTTAAACCCCAGTTTCTGAAGAACCTGGACGAGGAGTTTTTTGCATATAGATTAGAAGAAGACTGTATTCGCAGAAGGTGAGCGCTTTTCTCCCGTTTTCTTTTATAGATTACGCGTTAAAATTTATAATTTTTATGATAATAGTAGCATATGTAACAGCATCAATTTAGATTGCAGCATGTGAAAGCGACGGGAAAGTCGTACGTATCACCGGTGCCGATGTCGTCGTCGGCGAGTTGCAGCTCGTCGACACAGGAGGAGGAGGAGGACGAGCCTCTATTGAGTGTGAGTCCGGGCTTGCTGTGCCTGAGGAACGGTGCTTTGCAAAAGGGTCTCTCTCAACGGCTGAACGACATCCAGAGTCGACGGCAACTGCTGGATCAACAGCGGAGAACCTGGTGGGTTCGACGCACGTTGCTTTATCCGGTGGCGATGTTAGCACTTCTCGTATTATCTACTGCTACGGCTCTACTGGCGGTGCAAAATACATTGGAATTGCTAATAGGAATTAAAGCGCTGCCGTTGAGCACGAGGGTTCGTACAGACGCTTTCTTTCCTATAAATCTGTTAACTTTAAGTCTCATCGCAAATCCCAAGAAGAATTCTAATGGAAGCAAGAATTCTATAGTAAAAAGCAATAAAATTTCGAATAATTAATTGATTGAAGTTTCTCGTTGCTAAAGCATTATTTTTTTCTATCAATTAATATGGAAATTGTATATTTATTCCAAGACTAATTAATTGAATTATGTTTTTATTTCAATAGCAATTTACGCTCGGCATCAGCTCCCTGTCTAAGCTCGGGCCCGTCGGCGCGACCATTGAAGTGGCGGTGATCCTTTATTTAGCCGTAACTAGTGCGATCGGCTTATATGCTCTACCGGGTGTAAGAAGAGTTCAACCCAGACTTCGTTCCACGCCGCTCACCCATCTCATCGCGAACTGTGCCCTCTTGCTCGTGCTCAGTTCGGCGTTACCGCTGTTATCGCGGATACTAGGTAACATTTGCAAGCCATCGACATGATTCCATTATTCTAAGAGAATTTCTCAATCACCGCGTATTATATTTTGTAAGAGTTATAAGCGATTGAGAAAATCAAGAAAGATTTTTCGCAAATTTAAGAATTGGATAATAAATTGGAAATACTACTATGTACCTCATTTCCTGTTTCGTTCGTGCTTTTCTCAGGAATGACAAACTTCGATTTGCTGGGTGACTTTGGACGCATCGAGTGGCTCGGTAATTTCAAGCTTGTGCTCCTCTACAACTTGATTTTCGCCACGGCTGCGATCGGCTGCTTGGCCACCAAGTTTACCGCGACCGTGCGCAAAGAGATCTACACTCGTCTGAGAAGCAGCTTGCTAGGTATTTTCAGAACTACGAACGTTATCGCCGACCCGAAGAAAAACTCACCGTCGTCAGGGATGTTTTCTACAAAGGAAGATTAGACTGATTTTATTAAATTATTATTAAATAATTAATAAGCACCAGAGAGAGGGAGAAGAGAGACAAAGTACATCGGGATCTTGTGAAAGTTCTCCTGGCTTTTAAATTCTTGCATGTGTTGCGTCTTGCAAATTACAGAAAACTCTCTGAGCTTTTGAATCATGAGAGACTTGCTTCTCAATTTTGGGAAATTTTGAATATACTAATCCTTGGACACTCTTCAGTTCTTAGGTTCTTAGGTTGTCTTAAGGATTCTTATATATTTGCTAGAATCTTGATTACATCGAGGTTTTCTCTAATATTTTCTATAATATTCTCGTATTTCGAGAGAAATTTTGAAACTTTTCGTTTCTTTTAAATTCTTAAAAATTTTTAATATTGTTTATAAATAATGTCTGATACATGTGCGAGTGTCTGAGATAGGCTTTTTCAAAAATTAAATTTCGGGAAATCTCCGGGATCACGTTGAAATCACTGGCGAATAATCCGTCAGTGATTTCGATAAAATTCCTCTTCCTTTTTTAATCCCCAGACACTCTCGCGTGCTTCTGTCCTCGCATTATCGAAATTCGATTAAAAGAGTCAACGCAACTTTCGCGAGAGCCTAAAAAGTTTATCGCTTAAAGCCGATTAAACAAACGTTCTCATTCTGCCTAGTGATCATTTATAATTAAGACGTGCGAGGCCAGTTAAGGACATAACCTGATAAGGACAACGAGGCGGTCATAATGCGTAGCGCTAAATATTTATTTATTACACTAATACTATTTTTAAGAATATATTTGCCTGGATTCCCCCCCCCCCCCTCTCTGTGCCAGAAGAGGATCCAGCATCGAGTGTGTCTGTGTTTGTATATGTGTAATCGAATGAATTAATTTGCGGTGAATATAAAGATTGCAAGAAGAATACATACAATCAAGGATATCTATACATGTGTGTGTGCACAGAGTGTTGAAAGAAATTTATATCCAGGCAAGAATCTGTCCTTCACAGGAAGAATTTTCATCGATAAACATTTATTTGTCTTTAAACACCTTCATTTTACAATCACCGGTATCGTCATAGATAGAAGAAAATAAATTTTCTATTTAAATAATAAATATATTTTAATGGCTACTTTAAAAATAAAAACCTAAGAAATTACTAAATAAATTGAAATAAAAGCTTAGAATTATTTAATGACATTTTATAGGGAAGAGTATAAAATGTTTTCAGACTGAAAATAAAATGCAAAAAAATCTTTAAAAAAACCTTTTCAGAACCTATATACATCACAATCAACTGTATTATTTTTGAGATATTGATGATGAAAAATAAAATAATAATTTAAAATACTATATGCACAATTTTGTTCTTAACGGAAAACAAATTAAAATAATAAAAATGTCAAAACTACTTCTTTCATTAAAAAACTGAGGTTGTCTTGAGTTTTTGGAACGTACATTGTTAACATACAATGATTTTTACATCTACAATGTAAAAACAAATCTTTTAAATGCATGCTAGAAATAACCGGATATAATTTTTTTGATTTTATTTTCTATAAACATTATACGATGATTAAATATAATATGCAATATGCCCCATTCACAGTTAAGAAATTAATCACGTGGTGCACATATTATCTGTAATTTGCTTCAGTCCATATTTGTTCAATACACCAACGATGATATTCGCTGCAATACCATGACGCACAATTCTATAATAACCTGGCCTCGACAGATCCACCACGGTGGAGCCGACTCGCCGGCGATCGAGTTGCTTGTTCGAGTTGAACATCTCGTGGAAGATGCCATCGAGCTCAGGCCACAGTGCGCGGAATTCGTCCGGGTGTAGATTGCTTGGCTCGTTACTAATGTTGGCGCTGGTGAGTGCCAATGGACCGACGATCTGCACGACGCTGCGCACAAACTTACTGTCGGGCACGCGAATCCCTACAGTCTCCAGACCAGGATTGAAGGCCTGCGGAAGAACGTTACTAATGTTGAGTGCCAATGGACCGACGATCTGCACGACGCTGCGCACAAACTTACTGTCGGGCACGCGAATCCCTACAGTCTCCAGAGTCTCCAGACCGGCCTGCGGAAGAG